TGGTTTACTTAGATAGTATCAGTTGTAACTGCGACGAAAACCAAAATTGAAGTTAAACCCTTCATAAAGAATTGTTTTTTTAAACCTTACACTCTGTTCGTTAGTTAAATTTATTTTTTAATCGCGTAATTACTACCCGTTACTTCAGGTTGTTTGATTCGCTGAGGACGAGAAACAGACGGACATACATACACGGCACTTTATTTATATAGAAGAAGTAGAAAAAAAGCATCTTCTAAGCATTAATAATAATATTAATAACGCCTACATAGTTGGTTTCCTTGCAGTGGTTTATTTAACAGCAGTTTTTTTTAATCGAAATTACCTTAATCTCTCATCGTTCAGAAAGGCTTGCAATAAGTGTACAGACATTACGTATTTTTAGATAACGGCAATCCATTTTGAATTTCTTCAGAACCGAATGCATAGCCTGAATGTTCCTTTTCTTGATAAGATCCAGAGACGGATATGCAATATAATTGGCCCCGATCTGGCATCTCGTCTGCAGTCGCTCTCTCACAGACACGCCGTCGCCTCTCTCTGTCTCTTTTACAGATACTTTAATGGTATTTGCTCCAATGAGCTGCTTTCGCTGGTTCCCAGAATTCGCGAATTCAGGCGTCTTACGAGACTGGCATCCCGCTCTCACCGGTTCACTGTTGAAACTGTTAAATGTAGCCGCCTCTTCTACTCCAATAGCTTCATATCTCGCACCTCTCGCCCGTGAAACTCCATTCCCTATTCCTGTTTACCTGATAGCTATAATCTCCAACTATTCAAATGTAATGTCAATCGACATCTCCAGTTGCCTTGCTCTGTCCACTATCCTTCTCCTCATCCTTTCCTCTATCACTCCGATCTGCTCTCGCTCCAAATTCTATGTAACCCCTTGCGTACTAGTGGCTTCCCGCCTTGCTAGGGGTGAAATGCTTTAAAAAAATGCAAACCACCAATCTTCCATTGGCGTTTACCGCTGGTCGCTGCCACCAGAGGACCGCTGGCCCGCCAGCGGGCCACTAGCAGCTTGCCTGTAGGATTACTTGGCAAACAATCGGTGTATTGCGCATACATCAAGAAATATTCCTCTATGCAATTAATCGCTCGTCATTAGTGCTTGTATTGTGTTAGAATGGCATACTCAACGATGTTTCACTAAATTTTGTTTGAAATATGGACATTTTTCCCAGAAATTATTTCAATGATCATTCAATGAATAAAATCAAATTACAATGTTGTTCTTCATTTTTTTAACACCATTTCCGTTCTCTTCAGGATAGGGGTGGTACTGTCTCTCCATAAATTTCATCATTATGTGTGAAATTCTATTATTTCTTGAAGAAGATGGAGTGCTTTCTCATTGTCTTTTGTCGGCACAAGGCCAGTAGGCTGAAAACCTCGGTCACGATGACTTGTGACTTTGTGCTTGTGCAACCATCAACGGCCTTGGAACAGTTCCTTCTGCTCAATTTCACTCAGGAAATAACCGTTCTAACTAATCGGCTATTCTTTTTACCTAGCAGCGATCTAGAAAATATCTAACTCCTATTTCTATATCCTATTTTTGAAAGAGTTAGATCAGGCTAGAAATGGTGAACTGTTTTCATGTCTCGACCGGAAGATATCAATTCTCACTTTCCAGCCTTCATAATTCACAAGTTTCTAAGTGGCTTTGTGGGTGACTAATTGGGACCGATTTAAATTAATATGAAATCACCCCACTGCAATAATAAAATAACAAGATGAAATCCTAGCCTCTTACTAAATAAAAAAAAAAAAGTTTAAAAAGTCTGAATTTCTATGATAAGGAGTCATTTAGATTATTGTATATATTATTTAATCTAAGAGGAGAGACAGTTAAGGTAGAACATTCTACCTCTAGGTATGTCTAGTTTTTATATACTACTGTTCAGACAACAGTTTCTCTTTTTTCACTGAGTGTAATCTTCATTTCTTGGCCTCGAGGTTGTACTCAGAATTATTTAATCACCAAAATTCGGAAGAAAAGCGCTTTAATACTCTGTCCCATGGGACAGTCACGAGTGTAGAAATTTCAGGCTTACAACCAATCTACTGGATTCTGAAACTGCTGCAGATTACCCGGAACGATATACCCCTGAGGAAGGCCGGAGGGCAGAACGCCTGTAACATTGTGATAATAACAGCAAAAAAAAAATACGGTACTCAGTGAAAATATCAATAATTTTATTATCATCAACTACGAATATTGTCATAATATACTGGCCTTGTTCAGGAATTAAAAAAACTGTCTGTGTATCAGTTACGGCACACAAGAAAAACAACATGGAATAAAACTTAAACAAAGTACGTTTTCTGTCATTGTCAATGAAACATAGATTACCGATAGATTGCTGCTCAAATACACTACTATATTAAAAGAAAATAAAAACGTGCCTGAACAAATAGAAAAGTCTTAGGACGACACAATAGTGGAGCGCTTTCGATGGCAATATTTTGAAATCCACATGACAACACAATAGTTTGCCGTGTCATATTGCCTTTAACGATCACAACTATGTAAATAAATCAACATCGTGTCAAGAGTCTAAACTAACACGTCCGGTCCGTGCGTGTGAAATCTATCACCACGGAAAGAGGCTTTGGACAGCCTATCTGAACAGACCTTTCGATCATAATTTTAGAGAGAGACTGGTGCTGATCGAAAAGAAAAGTGGACTCATATTTGACCAGAAACCAGTTTTAAGCAGTCAGATCGATATATGGACTGACTGATAGCGTCATTATTTTTTTTGTTTGTTTGTTTTTTGTTTTTTTTTTGTTTTTTTTGCTGATATTTTATTTCTTTTTTTTTTTATTTGATTTCGATTTTTTTTTTTTTTTTTTTTTTTTGTTGATTTTTTTTTTTTGAGGGGGGGAATGTTGGGTTTTTTTTTTTGGAGCGGGGATGTTGATTTTTTTTTTTTGATTTTGATTTTTTTTTATTTCTTTTTAAGAACTAATGCTTTTTTATCGAAGCTAGGGGTCATGATTATATTTACTTTGCACTAAATGCGCAAATAACTGACCGCTCTAAATGAAAAACCAGAAATGAGTTTGGATTCTAATCGAGTTCTTTATATTTAATTAGGCGAAAATACTCTTGGGAAAGGCAAGAGTCTATCATTTCACCACTGCTCTGTCTTTAATGAAAATAAAAACGGATCTTAGAATACAAAATATGACTCGGCTTTAAATAACCACCAAAAGGTTAAGCAATAGACATCAATCAATTAAAGGAACACAATTTCGGGTCTGTCTTGAGGTTCAAGTAACAAAGTATTTATTGTTGCGCTGGACTTACATGCTATATTCTGTCGCTTAGATTTTCATTTTCAAAGCCACTACATCGAATGCTGATATTCTAAGCAAGCAGATCTTCCCTAATGAAAACGTTGGCATAATTTTTTCAGTCCAACTAGAATCATTACAGTGTTCCCCTTACTATACAGTGTATCACAGAAGTTCACCTAAGGATATAAAAATCTAATTATTAAAAATAAAAAATATTATTAAAAAAAAAAAAAAAAAATTTTTTTTTTTTTTTTTTTCCGAAATGAAAATTCAATCACTGAATATAATTTTTATTTAATTAACTAATTAATAAATTACCATGACGTAATTAACCTCTATTTTCACTTTCACACTGACACTCTCTTTCGTTGTCATTCTTCATAAGAGTGGTTAATAACTATGGCTGCAGCTCTGGAAATTCTGTCGTTATTCTAGAAATGCTAAATTACCTCGGGTTTATTGGTCAATAGACGTCCCTTGAAGTATTCACAAAGAAAATAAACAGGAAGCGCCAAATAATACGAAAAAGGTGGCAATAAAATGTCGGAATTTCGTGAAATTCTCCTGAGAAGAATAGTTTGAATAGAAGCCCATTTGTTGCACGGGCTTTGTGTGCAGAAACTCTGTCTGGTTTGAACCGCATTTCAGGGTCGCCCAGCACTGCTGGACATGAAATTCTTCATCATTACATGCTATCACAACGTATTGTCATTGCACTGCCATCTTCATATTAATAAATAAATAAAAGTTCACGATTTCCTTTCTTTGTTTAGTTGTGTATTTTTCCATGGGTAATTTCGTTATGTTAATAAAAATTCTGAAAAAAGTAAATAAAGGAAAACTAATGCCAAATCTGATGTTATGTTACTTTTGGGACACCCTGTATTTTGAAACGATATTTGCTGTCGTGTGCAGATTTCATTATCGCAAACCATTCAGTCTGCCTGAAGCAATACTGACCGGTTGAAATATTTATTTCCTGCAAGGGTCAATGTTTTGTACACGAGACGGTTTAAAAAACCAATAAAAATAATGATTTTGAAATTATTCGTGCCATTTTTCATTTGAGAACAAGGCGTATAAACCTCCTGAACAAGAATTCATGTAGCCTGGCATCTAAAGAAATTACGATAACAAAATTTGAATGACATAACTCCATTGTCCGCAGGCAACATATCTGAAATCATAAATGTTACTAACACATACATACATACACACACATCTTTTCTTTTTTTATATATATATATATATATATATATATATATATATATTTCTTTTTAATATATATAATGATAATTAGGTACCATACTATATATAATGTAATATACTATTGCTATTTGTAATAAGAAAACGTTCCAGCATACAATCTATGGTTCCATCTAGCCAATTCGACTGTAAATTTAGGAGGCCTTGTTACCAATCCAGCACTGCGCTTAAATTCATGAAATCTAGTTACCTTAAAGGAAAGTTGATCACAACAATTACCATGAAAGTATTTACAGAAAACCCACAGGGAAGCGAAAATACGGTGGTTGGAAATCGACTGAAGCCGAGATGCCAGGCGAGGACCAATAGCATTGCAGATTCTTCTTTGGTTTTTAATCAAGAATCTCTGTATAGGAGCAGCACCAGACCATGTGTGGCAGTAATATTCAGAGTCTGGACTAATAGTAGACTTAAAAATATCCAAGATATTTTCTTGATTCTCTTTTTCTTGCTTTTCTTGTTTCTCTTTTTCATTTTTGCTTTTTCTTTTTGTTTCTCTTTTTTTTCATTTTCGCTTTTTCACTTTCTCATTCTCGCTTTTTCACTCTCTTTCTCTTTCTCATTCTCGCTTTTTCACTTTCGCTTTTTCTCTTTCTCATTCTCGCTTTTTCTCTTTCTCATTCTCGCTTTTTCTCTTTCTCATTCTCGCTTTTTCTCTTTCTCATTCTCGCTTTTTCTCTTTCTCATTCTCGCTTTTTCTCTTTCTCCTTTTTTTTCTTTCTCTTTCTCGCTTTTTTTTTTCTTTCTCTTTTTTCTTTCTCATTTTTTTTTTTCTCTTTTTCTTTTTCTCTTTTCTCATTTTCTCATTCTCGCTTTTTCACTTTCGCTTTTTCTCATTCTCGCTTTTTCTCATTCTCGCTTTTTTTCTCATTTTCGCTTTTTTCTCTTTGTTTTTTTTTTTCTCTTTGTCGCTTTTTTTCTCTTTGTCGCTTTTTCTCTTTGTCGCTTTTTCTCTTTCTCGCCTTTTCTCTTTCTCGCCTTTTCTCTTTCTCTCTTTTTCTCCTTTTATCTTTCTCATTTTCTCATTCTCGATTTCTCACTTTCGCTTTTTCTCTTTCTCGCTTTTTCTCTTTCTCGCTTTTTCTCTTTCTCGCTTTTTCTCTTTCTCGCTTTTTCTCTTTCTCGCTTTTTCTTTTTGTTCTTATTTATTTTTTATTTTTTTCATTTGTCATCTTGGAGACCGTCTGGTTTGATGTTGAAATCCCACGGTATCTTGGCTTGTTAAGTTTTTAATCTGCTTGTTTGTCTTACGAGCTGTGCCTCCAAGTTGCTTATCTGAAATCTCAAAAGACTGCAAGTGAGCAAACCAGGATTTGTTGTTACAGTTGATTGGATATACAGATGACATTCTCGACATAACATTTCATGATTTTGCGCTGTCTTTGAGTTGTGTATAGTCTTTTTCTCCTTCATTAAAATGCGTATATATATATATATATATATGAGACAGTGGAAAATGTTTACTTGTGACGCGTTTTGTCCTTCAGAAGTTCATAGGAATAAATTTATGTTGGTACAACTGCACATGCGCACGAACGACTGACTTGAGTATATTAGAATTGGGATGATGTTTTTTATTTATTTAGAGTCTTTTTCTTTACGTCATTTTTGTTAGTAGATAGCCACAGCGTGGTAATAGATCTACCAGGAATGGTAAAATGTTATATGAACCAGTTCTCTCTCTCTCCCACTTTCTTTCTTTCTCTCTCTCTCCCACTTTCTTTCTTTCTCTCTCTCTCCCACTTTCTTTCTTTCTCTCTTCTCTCTTTCTTTTCTCTCTCTTTCTTTCTTTCTCTCTCTCCCACTTTCTTTCTTTCTCTCTCTCCCCTTTCTTTCTTTTTTTCTCTCTTTTCTCTCTCCCTCTCTCTTTCTTTCTTTCTTTCTTTCTCTCTCTCTCCCACTTTCTTTCTTTCTCTCTCTCTCCCACTTTCTTTCTTTCTCTCTCTCTCCCACTCTCTCTCCTAATTTATATGTTCCAAGTTTTTATTCATGCCGCAGAATTAAAGAATATCATAAGAAGTAAGAAAAGACAGGAATTATACAATTCCTTTTATGACGGGCACCTAATTTCTTCACTAATCTAATTTCTTTTTTTTTATTAATTCCGAATATATTACAGTCGTTTGTGCTTATTTTGTGTCTTTTTCAATTTCTACGTTAATAACAATTGATCGTGATAATGAGAAATTGCAAAACGAAGCCATGATTTCTTTTGAGTTGAGAAAATTTGCGATCTACATAAAATTTTATGTGGTTGTCTGAGAATGCAAGTAAGCTGATGGAAATTATATTTGCCAAAACTTTTTTTTCTCAGGAACAATTCTTAGCAAGCTTATGCACAAGTATCATAGCGACATCTTTTGCATAATCTAAAGGATATCTTAGAAGTGCTATTCATTTTTACGCATTATGTTTATTGCTTTTGTCCGCCGTTCACAAGAATTTGTAAAATATTCGCAGGCTTGGAAGATAGAATCCACGTTACGTTTAAAGACTTGTCATTATATATATATATATATAAAAACTGTTAGGGAATGTGATGCCGGGGCCAAGATGGCAAATGACTGACCGGAAAGCCAGTTCTGATAGTGATTGATTGTCTTTGTCTAACTTTTCAACCAAATCTGTTCGAAAGGAGCAGTCACCCACAATAATTTCGAAAAGTCAACACGCCTCTTGTTCCCAGATTTCTCAGAAAGGCTAGCCCGCACGTGACGGAATGCGAAACTAAGGATTCCGTATGTGTTCCTCTATCTTCCTCCCGATTTTGCCCTAGAATCGACGCTACTAGGTTTCTCTAAAAGCGAATAAGAAAAAAATAATAGTTTTTGAAGAAACTAACGGTGGTTGGTTGTTTTATTAATGCGTGTCAAAACAAATAAAATGGTTGCTTTTTCCAGGTTAAGATTTAAAATGTCAACCTAAAGAGAAAATACTGCGGGTGAGGATTTTCTTCTCTGCTTGGTCAGATAAAAAAAAAAAAAATTGGTACAAATCGCGAGAAACTTTTTCCTGTACAAAACTATAATGAATTGTTTTGAATTATAAAAGAATAAGCTGGTGCCGCTAATTGTTATATAATAGAGCCATGTTGTAAGCGAAATGTAAAAGAAAATATTTATAAATCCAGGCAAGAGACTGGAAAGACAGAATTTTTCCCATCGCAGAATCTTTTGAGACATGATAGTCCATGTCCAGTATTAACATGAAATATATACATCCTATCCATACAGTTTTCTGATACAATCTTTTACTTAGAGTTTGAATATACAAAACAACAAATTGTGTCGATGCAGAGAGCATATCAATTACACCGGTCGACATTGTGTTTCGACCCAAATGTTGTTGGGCAATGGATACTTGTTTTTCGTCTATTTTTTCACGCTGAATCTGAAAATCAAATCCATTTTTTCCCATCCCGTCAGATTTTCTCATTACAGATAAATTATATTTTTCTTAAAATGGACCAGACTAGCCATTTCACAGTGATATGCCAGGGCCAAGTAGAACCAACCTTAAACGTTTTCAGGTTAGAAAAACTTATCATAAAAGAAAAAGTACCCCAATAACTTTCAAATGTTTTCAGTTCAGAATAAATTTCCGAAAAATCTGACACAAATTTAAATTCAGGCAAACATGTGACATCAATTTTTTTTTAATCAAAACAGACAAAAAAATATTAATGGAACCAAAAACACATTCATTTTTATCCATCCACTGTTATAAATTTTCTCTTCTTGGAAACCCTACGGTGCTTTTGAAAAGATGATCTCTTTTGATATTCCAGCAGAAATCAGCCATCATGTTAACATCCCATCTGTTCCTTGTAACTCTCTTTTATTAACTTGAGATCCTGATGAAACCTCTGTCTCTGTTCATCACTATAATCTCCAAGATTATTAGGAAACTGATTGAGGAGACTAAACAGAAATTGAATCTTGATACTCATGTTACTCACGAGTATTTTCTGTGAAGTTTTCCCATCATCCATCTCTAGTTCTCTGCACTTCTTGACCCAAGAAAATTGCGGACAACAACTCCAAATGCTTCCTATGTCACTTCTACTCAAATACACTCGCCTAACACGCATTTATCGATATTCCTAAGCATATTATACATTGACTGCATGACAATACCATACCTCCGTCAGTTCGTGATATGATAATATCTTATTACAGTTACAGTCTTAAATTGAAAAGTATGAATAAAATCTAAAATCACTCTTCTTGAAAGACTTCTGAAGAGTTTCTTCTATGAAAAGTGGAGAAGAAACATAAATCCCTAAGTTTTAACAAGCTAAGAACGTTGAGGGCCCAGGAACAATTTTCAGTGAGATATCTCTCATAAAATCAATTAGTTTCAGGTTAGCTTATCTGAAATGAAATAGCTTTGAATTCATTTTGAAAGTTATTTAGATACTTTTTCTTGAATGATAAATAATTGTAACATGAAACGAAATGTTTCAACTACGTCAATCGCATATTTAAGTAGCGTCGTGTCCCTGTGAATTAGACATTTTGTCCCATTTTAAGAAACGTAGAAATTATCTGTACTGAGAAAACGTTATGTGATGGGAGAAAATGGACTGATTTTTAAATTCAGCGTGAAAAATAGCCGAGAAACATGTGCCCATTGCTCAACAATATTTGGGTCGAAAAAAATGTCAACCGGTATTATCCACAAGAATTGCGAAAGTAGCGAGTCTGACTGTGTTTTTTCATTAAGTTCGTTTGTGAAATGCATGATAATATGTCTCCCCTATCCATCCATTCTATGCGTTCTTTTCAGGGTAGATCAGGATCTATTGCCTATGTTGGTAGCCAGTATATGTGTAAGACGGCTAAGAATTCAAAATCGTGAAGTTAACTGAAAAACATTCCATTGTATTTCCCAAGAAATGAGAACAATTTAGATATTAAAGAAAAATTATATGTGCAAATGTTTGTTCTCCCCCAGAAGGAAAAATGGTATTTAGAACAAAAATACTAAAATATATCTTCCAACAAAGTTGGAGATGTTCAGTAGATTAATATAAATTCTTTTCTCTTTCCTCCCAAGCATATTAATGTTTTCTGTCTATATTTCTGAGATGAGGTATTATGTACACTATTTACATTATTCTGACTATTGTCCTCATCTTTGTCGCCATATTTATTACAATATTTCGGCCTTCTTCAGGTGGTTGGAAGAAGGCCGGAGCGTACAACGGCCGAAACGTTGTAATAAATATGATGACAAAGATGAGGACAATAGTCCGAATAATGTAAATAGTGTATATTAAGGTTTTGGATTAAAATAGATATAAGCAAAATCCATGTGGCCCTGGGACTCCTTTTTTCTTTTATTAATTGTTCCCCTAATACAATGGCCTAAAAGACACTCAAGGTAGATGTTTAGTGAGCGATTTTGTCTCACAATAATCCGAGTGGGGGGGGGGAGAAATATAGTTTATGAGGATATATATTAAAGATGGCAGTTAACAGTAGAATTGACGTTAAAATTTTTGTGATTGGGGAAGCATACTCTCCGGCATTTCCCTCCACCCACAGTAACCGTTCTTGGGAAGATGACCAAATGGAACTTCCTCCCTACAAATGGAGCATGATGGGAATAGGAATGATTTATCTCAGCGTACCTGGTATGGCATTTATGCAAGTAAGAACTGTTTGAACTGTTTGGGAGGTGGAGTTTTTGCCATGGTTCAAAGCGACACTGCTCCGAGCAAAGGTTTCTGAATTTTTTTTTTTTTTTATTTTTTTATTTTTTATTTTTTTACCGGAAGGAGTGGAATGCGCAGGTCTGCTACCTTGTTACTTAAGGCCTGTCTTCTTTCCTTTTTTGTGAGAAAATTTTAACAGAGTTCCGCGGGCTCTCTTCTCTCATTGTTGATCCCTGACTAAAATTTGGATCGCGAGACTAGGCAGTGTTTCACAACACTTAGTCTACTGAACTGCCTTCTGATCTACCGTTTGAGTCGAAAGGAATTTTCGACAAATCTGAATATCCGGCAGAAAGGCTTCTGATCCGGAGGTTTTGGAATCACCTCTTAATTGCTGGTGTCCCCATGTCCATCCTGACCCGAGGTTATTAGAGTTCCAGCTATGGGCAGATAGTTAACTCCCAACCTGGGGTCAAAACAGTGTAAAAAAATGGGTTTTGATATCAGCAATACATTTTAAAAATATTATCAAATATAATATCTAGTGGGCCCTAAATAAGACATTGAGGTTTATATGCCCTAAAAGAAGCTAAATCAATCTCACAGTTTAATCCGAAAAGTATTAACTTTGCTATTATAAATGATATGCCGTGGAGGGAGGGAATACTTTGGTAATACTTTTGTTTACCTCTTTCCAGACAGATCTGACTGACTAGCTTAACACGCTGGTTTTTAAATGAATCTAATAATATCAAGATGTAATGCAATAACCAGTCATCCCCATGAATGATTACACTATAGGTAGCAAGCAGAGATAAAGCTAACTGTCTACGAGAGACAAGAGGGGGGTGATAGAGACGACGAGATTTTTATGCTATGAGGTGCGTTTTGTAGGTCTCCCTTGAAAGAATGCGGTATTATGGTGTATGAAGAATTGATTGGTGACGGACGAGTTTTTATGATGAATGTGAAAATTGTAATGTGTGATTGGGTCATGAATCGGATTAGCTAGGTATAAGATAGTGATGACCAGCCTCAACCCCTTGTACCATAATTATGTATTTTTACATTATAAATACCAGAATGATAGAGACGACACAAGCACGTCCGTCCTTCCAGTTAATGGCACTCACTACTAGATTGACCTGTTGTATATAACTGTACCGCATTTCATATTTACTTGTTGTGTACAATAAACCTTTTTTCTGGTATCGATCTGGTGTTATGTGTTTGCTCCCTTAGCACGGAATATAACATATCACATGATAAAACAGATGTGTGTACTCGAATGAATCAGGCGCAGCAT